GTGGGTGTAATGGCTGCAGTCAAAGAAGCCGCATTGCAACCACGAGAACAACTTGCAGATGAATGTAGATCCTACGTCCCTGGTGGCACGATGGAAGTATCATCTTTAACAAAAACTCACCAGTCTTGCTGAAGGCTCTTTTGTTGTACCTATGAGCCTGTATAAAGGCTTCCTTTGGCCATGTGGAATTTATTCCCCTGAACCAATTCCCCTAATGAATTAATAGCCTATTTTACATATCCCTTTGATGGCACATCTCTGAGGGGAGTTCTACACCTTCTCCCAGAAATCACCAATATGATTGAACCTCATATGCCCACAGCTCTACTTTGTTGACTAAGCTTCTCTCTGATGGTGTCCTTTGCCTCCTTGTTTCACATTGCTATGCCCTGAATAGCGTTTCCTGGGTTCACCAAGCAAATAGACCACTTGCCCACCAAACCTTGTCTCCTATCTATTTTCAGTGTAGATAGGACTAAAAGACAGCATCTCCGGATGATCTCTTATGGTTTGTTTTTGAATAAAGAAAACCACAGTTGGCCCTTGAACAACACAGGTTTGAACTGAGTAGGTCCATTGATACACGGAATTTCCCCTCCTGCTATTGAGCTCTCATGAGTATCTGCTTGAAGCGCCATGTGATGGTAATCATCTCTGAGGGTCTAGTTAGCCTCGCCAGTAGCTGTTAGCCCTCACTCTCCTTTAACCCCTGTCTGGAGAGATCAAATGCTCACAGAGATGATTAGCATCGTACAGCATTTTAACTGAATGCTCGAAATACTTAACTATCATGAAAAAAATACAAACATAAGTGTTTTTCAAAGGTCAAATGTAACTCAATCTGATCAAATCACAGTTATTTGTTGTTGTTGTTATGCTGTTAAGTCTTATCTCATCCAGTGTTATATTTCTTAACTTAAATTCCTTTTATGATCATAAATCATTTCCCAATAAAGAAATACAACTTAAATTATAAAGCCAGAATAGGAATTTTTAACTCTATTGAGTGAATAATGCCTCATGGTTATTGAGAAGAAATATTAAAAATGGTATCAGAAATGTTTATTTTTAGTAAATAAGGTTTCAACAGATAAAAGAATTCTACATGATCAAATCTAAAGTAATTCTGTTTTCACTTGACTCATCTCCATCATTTGATCACTAAATTCTTCCCCAAAAATGTTTGTTCGCATGCGCTCTGGGCATCTGGTCATAGCTCGTTCTTTCCTTGAGCTCATGGGCTGCTGTTGAATCACTTTTACAGGTTCCTTCTCAGTTTGAATCAGTGTCCCAAGGCTTGGTCTTAAGTCCACATCTCCTTTTCAGCTACCAACTCTCAAAACAAACAAAAACCTCGCTATCAGTTGAGTTCATTTCAACTCATAGCAATGAGATAGGACAGGGTAGAAATGCCCCCATGGGTTTTGTAGACTATACAGCTGAACTTGGGAGTAGACAGCTGAACTTGGGGTTAGCACCTCAACTCATAACCCATTTTTATCCTGAGGAAGGGCTGGTGGTTTCAAACTACTGACCTGTTGGTTAACAGCCTAATGTGTAACCCATCAGGGTTACAGCTACTATCATGATTCATTGCGTTGGGTAAATCTGCTGTACAAACTTCGTAAAGTGTTGAAAAGCAAGGATGTTAATTTGAGAACTAAAGTGAACCTGACTCAAGGCCTGGTACTTTCATGTGAAAGTGGAGCATTGAGTAAGGAAGATCCAAGAGGACTCGATGCATTTCAATTATGGTGCTGGCGAGGAGTATTGAAAGTACCATGGGCTGCCAAAAGGACAGCCACATCTGTGTTGGAAAAAGGACAGTCAGCATTCTCCTTGGAGGCAAAGTTGGCCAGACTTTGGCTCACTTACTTTGGACATGTTTTTAGGAGAGACCAGTATGCAGGCAAGGACATCTTGCGTGGGAAAGTAGAGAGGCAGTGAGAAGGAGGACGGCCCTTGGTGTGAGGGATTCACACAGTGGCTGCAATGACAGGCTGAGACATAATTGTGAGGATGCTGTAGGACTGGGCCTTGTTTAGTTCTGTGGACCATAGTTCGCCATCAATCAGAACCAACTCGGCGGTAACTAACCACACTGGCTAGATCAGCAGTTCTCAACCTGTGGGTCCGACCCCTTTGGGAGTTGAATGACTAACACCATCGGAAAACACATAAATATTTCACAATATATAATTACATATTGTTTTGTGATTACTCGCTATACTTTATGTTCAATTTGTAACAATGAAAAGACATCCTATATATCAGATATTTATATGACGATTCATAGCAGTAGCAAAATGACAGTTATGAAGTAGCAATGAAAATAGCTTTATGGTTGGTTGTCACCACAACATGATGGTTGCGGCATTAGGAAGGTGGAGAACCACTGGACTAGGTGAACCCTTCTAATTCCATGGTTTATAATAACGCCCTTTGTGCTGACAGCTCTCGTGTTTTTATCTTCAGCCCCAATTTCCCCCACAGAAGTCGAGACTTATATAAGAAATTATATATTATCGCCAGTTGGCTGATGGAGTTTGTTTCATGTGGCCATAACTGTGTAATAGTACTCTTTTTGCTTTCTTCTTTCATGAGATATCAACTATTTTTCTAATAGTTGCCCAAGTCAAAAATACATAGAATTAGCCATCATTTCTCATTTGTCTTTCAACTCTTACTGAATCCATTAACCAATTCTACCTTTAAATACCTCCAGAAACATGACCCATTTTCATCATTGTCTATTTTATGAGTCTAGAATAAGCTATCCGTTACTATACTCTTGTTTGAATTGTTTTGTCTCCCCGTTTGATCTTCCTGAGTCCACTGTTGCACCATGTGTACCCTATTGACTAAACAGAAAAGTTATCCTGCTAAACTTTTTCAGAATTTCTGTTTTCTTGATTTCAACAGGGTGAGTCCAATCATGTCAATACCCTGTCTTAATTCTACAATGTGTTTCCAACCACAATGCCATAAAATATTGACTCTTTACTAATCCCTTAACCTCATCTTCTACCATTAGCTGCATCATACACTCTGCTCCAGACACACTTACTTACCTGCCTGGTTGTCCTTCAGTTAAGAATACAGCTTCTCCCATGTGGGCTTTGTTGGTTCTGAGCTAGATGGCTGCTTGTTTACCTTTAAGACCCCAAACGCTATATCTTTTGATAGCCGGACACTATCAGCTTTCTTCACCACATTTGCTTATGCACCTATTTGTCTTCAGTGATTGTATCATGGAGGTGAGCACACAATGATATGATTTTTTGTTCTTTGACGACTGATAACTGATCCCTT